TGGCTAGCTGATGAGAGCTAAATAGCTTGAAATAGATCTATACTAGTCTCCCTTTATTTATTTATCAGCATAAAAAATATAACATACATCATATAACTTAACTGATTAAAAAAGCCTCTAAAAACCACCCTCTACAGGAGGAGGCAAGAGAACCACGTGCCTCATCTATATAAGGAATTATTCAACTTTTAACCCTTGCTTAACTCTGCTCGAGTGATCATAAAGTCAGACTAAATGAGGCACGTGGTTCTCCTGCCTCCTTGTGAAGAGGGCACTTTTTTAGAGGCTTTTTGGAAAGTATTCAAAACCAATTCAAAAGGATATAAGAAATAACCTCTAATGTAAAAATACTGAATAATATTCATATCATTTCACTTTCCTCACAAAAAATACATTTTGTTAAAATATCAAAATCCCAATTTAAAAAATATTTAATTACTTCTTTATGTCATATTCAAGGCAACGAGCGCCCAAAAAGCTTTCAATTCAGTATAATTAATGTTTTAATTATTTTAATTTAAATAATTAAATAATTAAAATTATTATTGCAATTACTATATTACCACATGAGGCAGAGGCAAATTGGCACAGTAATTTCATTTAGTTAGAATGAAGTCTTTTATCTTGAAGTAAGATAAGAAAGGATTATAGAGATACTGCCACATACAATTGTCACTGGTGTTGTAGCTCTTAAGAATGGCCTTCAATTCCTGGAGTTTCTGATGTGCTCTTGCATGGACACTGTCTATTAGAAGCTTCTCTACTGATAAATGGTCTATCTACAAAAATCAAAGTGAAATCGGTTATTAAAAAAAAAACTTTCTGAAGAATTTGCAGTTTTAAAGGGATATTGTGCAGCTGTTCAAGCATTGGTATTATGATTTAGTTTCATCTAAATTAAATAGCAGGTCCACTGTAAATATCTTCTAAAATCTTAGTTTAAATGAAGCAAGTTTTTTTCAATATAAGAATTACTGCTACAATGCAGATAAATGGAACAAGAGTATCTGTCCATGTCAGAACTCTTTTTATATATTTTATGTAAATTTTTATATTTCATGCTAACAATAAATTTTACAATATATAAATCTTTCCAACCCTGGCAAACCATTTTGCAAAATAATTTTACATTTCTAAGCTGCCACCATTTAAAATCCTTTAAAAAGGATGGGGGTTGTAATATCTTTTTTGTATTTCAATATTTACTTTTCTTTATATTCCAATATTTTAACAATAAACATATGGGTTAAAAAAGAGTCTTTTTAAATTGAGACAACTTAAGCTGCTGAGGCTTACCTTCATAGCTCTCTCAATTAGTTTGGAATCACATGCTGGAAGGGGAGGTTCATGAAAAATTTGCAAAGGCTTTGATACGTCATTCTCATCAATCTTAATAGTAACTTTATGAAGAGATGCTGTTCCGGTTTTTCTCCCAACAATTTGTTGGCTAATAAAGAAATACTATGTTAAATAAAAATCTATTTTTGTAGAACATTCAGATAAATTGGTAACAATATTATTACTATATTAAACAAGAATGTAACTGCTTTCTGTATAAAGTTCAAGAACTCTTTCAAACTTTTCTAAGAGGCACACAGTCACAATCTTAATAATTCTTTGTTGTTTGAAATTGTGTGTAATATATCATTTTCAGCTTTGCTGTTCATTTTTGCTCATTGCTTTCTAATAATAGACCCACTGTGAGAGTATGTAAGACACATTTAACCAGCTCAGGGATCAGTATCACAAAAGCATTGATTAAAAGAATGGTTTGATTCAAATAAGTTTTAAAAGTCATTTGAAGATCTATGGCCGGGATGGGGAACTTATGGCACACGTGCCATAGGTGGCACATGGAGCCATTTGTCAGGGCATGCAAGGCATTGCCCTGTCAGCTGGCCCTGACTTCAGCCTTTTTTTGAGGCCATTTTTTGCCCTCCTCAGGCTCCAGAGGCTTTATAGGAGCCTGGGGAGGGCGCAAACAGCCTCCCCCGCCCCACCGGAGACCCTCTGCAGGCTTCAGGAGCTTCCAGAGCACAAAAAACCAGCCCTACAGGCAAACCGGAAATTCAGGAATGGACTTCCAGTTTGCTTGTGGGGCCAGTTTTAGTCCTCCAGAGGCATCCCTAAAGGCTCTGGAGGGCAAAAAACGACCCTACAAGCAAACCGGAAGTCCATTCCTGAATTTCCGGTTTGCCCGTAGGGCTGGTCACTTCTGGTTTGCTCATAGGGTCGTTTATCATCTTCCAGAGAGCCTCCGGGGGGGTGGCAGAGGCTGTTTTCGCCCTCCCCAGGCTCCTACAAAGCCTCTGGAACCTGGGGAGGGTGGAAAAAGCATGCAAAAAATGGGGCGGGAGCACTAGCCATGCGCGCATGTGCGCTGGGTAGCGCATTGCATTATGGGTGCGGCACACCCATGCACAACCCCCCTGCACTCCCCCCGCTTTTGGCACGCGAGCCAAAAATTGTTCGCCATCACTGATCTATGGCTATGTATTGCGGTTTATTACTATTTAGGTTTGTGACCTAAAAAGTGTTTCCAAAAGCAATAATACTGTACTATGAAATCTTGCCTATGAAACAGAACTTGATGACTGTAACTATCCTTGCAGCTGTACTGAAAGTTGTGATTCTAAAATACCCCCATTAATATAACAATATATTATTTTCAGGTCATGATATTTGCTCTCATTTTGTTAACTATTTGTCCTCATTCCAGAATTCAATTGTATATAACTTATTTAAGAAACAGTGTACTTCCTTTGAAATCCTAAATTACATATTATACATTAAATTATCCAAATTCAAGAGTGCCTGGGTTTTCAATATATAAGTTTCCAACAATATAATATTGTTACATGGAAAAATATAAATTGCTTAAGAAAAAATAATTATAAGTAGAAGGAACGTTGGTCCTACCTGAATGCTCTTCTCAGTGTGGCGCAGGATGGTCCAGAAGTGGGTTGTTCAATCCTTATTTGCCCAAGAAACTGAGTCAGAGTTGAAGCCACACCTCCAGCTCCCCCATGCTTGCTTCCAATTCTGATGAAGGGCAGCTCCAACTAGGGAAACAAAAGAGCAGACCCTGCCCTGCAGCATACCAGCCCCAAGGAACACAGACCTAACTGAATAGGGAGGGATCTGGACTGTCCTGCACCACGTTGAGAAGAATGTTCAGGTAGGACCAATGTTCCTTCTCCAGCTGATGGCGCAGGATGGTCCAGAAGTGGGACATACCAAAGTGGCAGTCCCCAGGGTTGGAACTCACTGGTCCGTTGTTCCCGAGGGAGCACGCACTCTCTGAAGCACTCTTCATCTGAAGGAAACAAACGCTTCCAACCGATAGTGTTTATTTAAGGGCGATGGGGATGGCCATGTAGCCGCCCTGCAAATATCCCCAATCGGTGCCTGAGTGTTCCACACAGCTGGGGTGGCTGCACTCCTAGTCGAATGCGCAGTGATCCTCTGTGGCACAGACCTATCCCGTGCCTCATAGGTCCAAGCAATACAAGCCTGTAGCCAATGCCCAATGGTGGAAGGGGACACCCTAGATCCTGCAGCAGATGGCTGAAACGAGACAAACAATGCCTGTGTCTTCCTGGTGGCTGCTGTCCACTTGATGTAAATATGGAGAGCCATCCGCATGTCTAACTTGTGCCATGACTTCTCCCTACTATGAGTGGGATTGGGACAAAAGTCCGGAAGGACTATTTGCTGAGCTCTATGGAAATCAGAATTAACCTTCGGAATGAAGGTAGGATTATGTCTCAGCACGACCGTGTTAGGACAGAAGGTACAGAGGTCCTCCCTCACCAACAGAGCACCCAGCTCAGAAATCCTCCTTGTAGACATGATGGCGACCAGAAAGGCCACCTTCAAAGTAAGGAACTCCAAGGAGATGGTCCCCCGCAGTTCAAAAGAGGGATCTACGAGATCCAAGAGGACCATGGAGAGATCCCAGGATGGGAACCTGTGAACCACCAGGGGCCGAAGGTTAGCCACCCCAATAAACCTTTTCACCACCAGGTGACGGCCCAGGATCTCCTGATCATCCAGCACCAGCGGCAGTGTCTATGACCACCCTGCTATAACCTGGTAGAAGGCCTCAGGTGGTTCTTCTGGAAGTTACAGAGAACCCATACCTCTGCAGTGTCTCCACCGTCAGGCCAATATCCTGAAGGGACTGCTCCGGCAACTCCACCTGGAGGAGGATATCATCTAGGTAGCATTGTAGCCGGATAGGGACAGTCCTGAGATGAGCCGCTAGAGCCGCCAGGACCTTCATAAAGGTCCTGGGGGCCGAGGCCAGCCGAAGGGGAAGAGCCCTGTATTGGTAGTGAGTACCAGCGCAGGAAAACCTAAGAAACTTCCTGTGTTGGGGAAAAATTAGGATATGCAGATAGGCCTCTGTCAAATCAATGGAGGCCAAAAATTCGCCTTCCCTGACACCTTCCAGAATGAAACAAAGGAATGCCATCTTAAACCATTTATACACTAGGTAGTGGTTCAACCTTTTAAGGCCTAGAATTGCTCTCCATCCCCCTGAAGACTTTGGAACCACAAAGAGGTTTGAATAGAACCCCCTGCCCCTGTCTTCCGGTGGAACCAACTCAACAGCCTGGATCTCCACCAGGTGATCAATTGCTTGATGCATAAGCTCTTTCTTAGCCTCACACTTGGAGGATGTGAACGTTTGAAAGAAATTCGGGGGGCATGGAAAGAAATTTATTTATTTATGAATTCCAGCCACAGCCCAAATCTGACAGTATTTAGGACCCAGAGATCCGATGTAATACTCTCCCACCGGTTGGCAAACAACGCCAACCGGCCACCAATGGAACAACCGAGGCCCATTCAATTATTCCAGCAGAAAGGACGTCCACCCCTCCCCGAAAGGGCAGCTTATTCTGGGGCTGAAATCGTGACCTATCCCTGTATGAAGACCTATCCTGCCCCCTGTCCTGACACGGCTGAAACCCCCTAGGCTGATAGTAATAATCAGTATCAGAACCCCTATAGGGTGCCCTATGTGTGTAAGGTGTAAACTGATGTTCCTGTTCCTTAATCGTGGCAGGCAAAACCTTATGTTTATTCTTATCTTCAATAAGAATCGGATCCAGAACTTCACCAAACAGATTCTTCCCCGTATACGGGCCTGCTGCTAGCTTCCACTTCACCTTAGTGTCCACCTGCCAATTCTGGAGCCACATCATCTTTCTAGCTGAAACAGAGGAGGAAAAAGCCCTGGAGGCAAACCTAGCAGCGTTCAAGGTCATATCAGCCAAAAACTAGGTCGCAGCGATGACCTTGATGATGTCCTACAGCAATCTCACTAAGAGCCTTTATTAGGACTTATTTAGTGGCAATACAGGCGGCAAAATGTGCACATTTTTTCCGCTCTCATTGCGTCCGCAGAATCTCGCCCAGCTGCCCTATTTAGGATAACCCGTTCCCTCCTGAAAGGGAGGGAAACGGGGGATGCCTTACAGGGACGAGCTGAGGAGTTTGCTCAGTTTCTGTTGGACAAAATCGCTCAGATTCGGACAGACCTGGACTCCATTTCGACAGAACCAGCAGAGATGCCGAGAGGGTCTTCATCACTCCTGATGAAGTGGACAAAGCCATGGGAGCGATGAGTGCCTCCACCTGTTTACTGGATCCGT